ATGGAAAGTTTTTCAAAGCTGATGTCCTTCACATCTTCAAGTCACATTAAGGCTGAACAAACCTGTACATATTCCCCAAATTATCATTATAACAGAATAGTTTCCAATGTTTTTTCTTAAAAAAAAAATCCACACAAATAATTGTCTAAATCTTGTTCCCAATAGCTCAGTGGTCTTATAACAAGTAAAAATGGTGTAAATATGTAAAAAAAATATATATGTGTGCACATATTTCAAACTGACAGGCACTGAGCACACAGGGCCTCTCTTCCCATGTATGTATTGGTTATTTGGTTTGGGTAGTTATCAAATCAGAAACATGAATTATGTGGCCATCAGAATTCAGAGTAAAATATCTATGAATTTATGATATAAACAATTTGGTGTACTAAGAAGCCTACTTTAGGTCACCATAATATTCAGAATCTCAACATACTAATTTTAAAATTACATGAAAAACTGTAAGTAAATTACTACTTACAGTAGAATAGTCACAACTTTATATCATTTCTATAGATAGATAGATTTTATATAATTTAAAGCAATGACCCTATAGCTATATTCTTGCACTTTGCTGTTTTAAGAGGTAAAAAGGAAGAAAATGGTTCTGTTTGTCCCAGCATGAATATGATGCCAGCTTCTAGAGGGAGGATGGTGTACAGACTCAAGACACTCTGATGGAGAAGCTCTGGCCAGACCTGGCACATACAGCACAATGGCTGTCACCGCAACCAGGGCCGCCAACATGGGCATCCAGGGCCAGGGTTTCTGTGTGGAAAGAAACCAAGAGTCAATATCACATTCTCCCCTCTCTGTTCATACCTGTTTAATCACATGGTAACACTGAGTCCCGCATAGTTAAAAGACTATTGGAAAAAGCTTGTCTTTGAAAAAATAAATATAAAAAGAAAAAAGAGAGAGAGGGAGAATCCAAGTATAAGGAAAACTGCAGAGTAGGACCAGCATTTGGAAGCCTAACACACACCATGATATAGTTGAAACTCTGTAGGGACTTCTGAATAGCCTCTGGGCTCTGCCCACATTTACACTGCTAGCCACAGATTCCAATATAACTGATGTCTGCAGTACATTTCTGCCTAAAAGGTTTGCTTTTATCTGTCTATCTATCTATCTATCTATCTATCTATCT